GAGGGAAACGGGACTTTGCTTTTATACTTTTTCATAGGGTTCTTTTGGATTGCTCTTTGTCTGGCCCCTCCCCTGGGACCTTTTTGCCTTGGGAGACCCTACCAGGGGCTATTGCCCCCGACAACATAGCCCCCAGGTTCACTGAAGCACGCAAACCCCTCCACCACGATAAGGTGGCAATCCAAGGAGGAGTCATCCATAACCATCACATATAAATACAATCCTGTCTGTTTTTTTCCTTCTTTGTTATTTTTTTCTTTTTCATTTCTTTCTCCTTTTCATTTCTTTCTTTTCCTCACCCCTCTACGACTCCTCACATTAAATATTGACTTTACTCGCCTCCCAGTCCCGCCACTTCCACTAGGCCCTAGTTTGGGGGAGTGTTTTTTTTCCCCTGTGCCTCTGTGTGAGGCAGGTCACCTGGTGCACCAGGGGTGGGTCACTGAGCTGCCGGGGGTGGGGGCCCTCCAGGGGCCACTCTCTGAGGCCGCCCTCCCGCCCCCTGGTCTCTCCCGCCCTGGGCTGGGCCAACCTGCAGGTTCCGCTTATTTTAATGCATCACACCAGAACAGCCTTCTGTCTCCCACTCATACAGACACACACACACACAAAAACACCCTAGAATAGGGGCAGCATGACATGCAGGGTGTGGTCTGCCTGGGGTGGGGGGTTATGGTTGGGCCCTGTCCTGGAGGTTGCTGTGCCCCTCCCTCTGGGCCACTCACGGTGTGCGGTGGGCCTGCCTGCCAGGGCCCATGGGGAACACGGGGCGATTCATTAGGCCTTGGCTGGATGCAGAAATATTCTGGCCAAATAACCCCCCCCCCCCCCCCATCAATCTTCCCTTTGCTGCTTCTCATCACTTTCATCTCTGCCACCCAAAGTATCACTTTCACTTTCCTGAACACGCAAAGGGACAGACAGACACACACACACAGTGACACACACACACGCCCCTCGTTAAGGGTAAAGTTCAGTACACTCCCTCACAGTTTTCACATACACTCACCTAAAGGATTATTAGGAACACCATACTAATAATGTGTTTGACCCCCTTTCGCCATCAGAACTGCCTTAATTCTACGTGGCATTGATTCAACAAGGTGCTGAAAGCATTCTTTAGAAATGTTGGCCCATATTGATAG